TTAAAAAATATTTGTTCATATTTTAATACGTGTGTCAATTAAAAAAAACGGACTGTGCCCGTTTGGACGCTATAACCTTCTAATTACTTTGTGTATTTCTATGGTATGTTTAAAATAATAATGACATTAATATATAGTTAACTCACTAAAGTATTTTTTAGTATATATACATTTATTATCTTGATTTTAAGACTGCTTGAGGATATCTACAAATATTATTTTTAATTAATCTTAAGTATGATAAAAACTTCATACAAAATATACACACGTTTATTTTCCTATGCTGTGCGCAATAAAAAAAAACGGACAGACGGACACGAGAGTGCCTGTCTGAACGCAAGTAAGGAATAATAATAGTTGTCTTTGTTGAGATGCAAGTTCCAAGACAAGTGTGGGGATTCAAAGTCTTACTTGGTCACCAAACTTTGAGAAAATTAATATTATATTAATTAATGTGATATAAAGCAATCTAAGGAGTCAAACAAGTTCGAGGACACATATGTACAACCTTGAGGACAATCATATAAGGAGTCAAAATGCTTAAATAATATATTAGTAATTAAAGTTGATTCTAATTGATAGATTCATCTCTAACAAGTTGTAAGAGTCTCTTGATCCAAATCTCACCTATAAAAGGAGCACTTCATTATTTTTGAAAAATGTGGCTTTACATGGAAAAATAGAAAGAAGCATTAAACTCTTCAAGAACTCATACATATTATCTTCCTTACCAAAAGTCATCACACTTCAATAATCATCATCACATTTTATTAAAGATATTTCTACAAATCTCTCACTACTATATGGTGAAGTTTTAATCTTTCTTGATCCAAACAAACTCTCTCAAAATCGTATATCCTCAAGTGATACAAAATCTTTTTGTTCATTACTTTGTAAGCTTATTATAGTTATATTAATTAGTATTGTAAGTCTGGTGATGCTAAGAAAATACATAGCCGTAAAGACACACACAAGAAGAAAATTTGTCAAGCATCAGTAAATAAATTTCACAGACTTGAGAACTGAATTAACCATTTAGGTGAAACTGAATAAATCTCTTGTATGATCTCTCTTAAACTCTACTATATTTATTTATTGTATTGCCAATAACATTCTCACACACACAATATTGAATATTATATGATATTTAAAATAGATGAAGTTTTGTAAATGTGCTTGCGCGCGCGTATGCGTTGCATTTTTTTAGTACCTCAAAAATCATTCTTACTTATTTACACACTACCGATAAAAAATAGATAAAACAATAAAACACGAAATTATATGAATTTTCACAGCTATAGTTTCTTCCGATGTTGATATTTTTATATTGATTTATTTTTACTCTCCAACACTGGAGCTTAATCAATTTTACTATTTTTCTAACTACATATTTATGTCCTATAAATGAGGTTTATATTATTGTGTAAAATACACTAATAAAAAAATATAATACAAAGATTAAAATTTCTCTATCTGAAGTTTTCTTTTTTGCTTTAATTCATAACCGGATTGAATGTTAATAACAATCACAAAATAGGAACAATCTTTTGTACATAAATATGAAAAGTAAAAAAAAAATAAAGAAGAAGTTAAATAGCTTATGAATTATCTATTATAAGATATAATTATTTTTGTCAAGTATCATAGTAAATAGAATTCGGTGATTAAGTGGAATGACACGGATTTGAATCTATGGCGCCCTGCACAATTACTAACTAAACTAACTTAACTTAACAAGTTATAATCCTCCTTAAATATCCACTATTTATAAAAAAATCAATAATAATAATAATAATAATAATAATATTAATAATAATAATAATAATAATAATAATAATAATAATAATAATAATAATAATAATAATAATAATAATAATAATAATAATCAACAAAACGGTCTATCAGAATATCAAAATTGACATGCAAAGTGATGGGAAGCATGATAAAGTCTTGCATAGAAACCTAGAAAATCATATCAATACAAAAGGAGAAGAAAAGGTGATTACAAAACAAGCATGAAGATCAAAACTACAAAAATAATGACGAAAAGGAAGCAAAGAGAAGCATACTTACAACTAAAAGGAATTCCATCAGCAATGGTATCGATACTACCAAGTGGAAACAACTAGAAAAATGTTGGATAAAGACTAACCTTGATTCAAGTTTGAACGAAGTCGAAAAATGGGGGTTGAGTGCGATCTTCAGGGAGAAGAAGGCGAACCTCTTGTAGTAAGTTCAATAGGAATGAAAGGAGATGAAAATCCATTAATGGCAAAAGGCAATTGTTTTAAAGTGACCGAGTTTGAGATGGATAATCAAAAGCTAACACTATGAGAAAGAAAGAAAATCCAGAAAATAGATGAGGAATGATATACAAAGCGACGTAGGAGAAGTTTGATAGATTTAGGGAGACTAAGGTTTCTCACATAAGGAGAACCAACAATCGTAGCTCACATTATCACTAGATTAACAAAAAAAATTGATGTACCATTTCAATTAAAGAAGTCCCAAAATACATTCAGGCCCATGTCATGAATGAAAAGCCCAATTAATAATATTGCTCTCTTAAGGAAAAAAATATCAAAATAAACTAAAAAAAATATCAATTAACTAATCCATTGTATGTAGGGGTGGCAAACGGGCATATCCTTCCCGTTTGGATATATGTCATGTAAAAATCTGGAAAAAATGGGGCGGGCGAGGAAGGCATTGTTGAGGGTGTCGATCTAAAACTTTCACTCCCCACAAAAAAGTGAGAATGGGACAGGATCACAGACATTGTATTTTTTAAACTTATAAATGAAAAACTTATGTTACAGCATGTGCAAAAGCCTACAAAAAACAGGACAAAACGAGACAAACATATTAGAGGATGCGGGTAAAACGAGTATGGCCAACAGATCGGATTTGTTTTGCCACCCCTAACTTTAGGGATGGAAAAATGGATCGTGACCCACCGGGCCGGCCCGCGCACTCGCCGGGACAAACAATTTTAGGTTGAAATTTTGTGCCCGCCTACCTGCATAGTTTGCCCTGCTTTAAGCCTACACCGCCTTAAGCCCACAAAAAAGGGCGGGTTGACGAGTTATCAAACACTAAAATCATTTTTTTGTTGGTTAACTATATATTAGAATACTTATTGATAATTCTATTTTATACATTTATTTATTAAAAAGATGCTTTATAAAAATTATTTTAAAAAATAAGTGAAAAATCTAATTGAAATTAAAAAATAAGCCTATTAATTTATTAAAAATAAAATAAAATAAATAAAAAATAGGCAGACAAGCCCGCCCGCCAACCCGCCACCTTGGCGGGACGGGCTAGATTTTTAAGTCTATTTTTACTTGGTAGGCTTGCCATAATAATAATAATAATAATAATAATAATAATAATAATAATAATAATAATAATAATAATAATAATAATAATAATAATAATAATAATAATCTCCCTGTTTTAAAATGAGTGTCAATTTAGGGAAAAAATTTATTTTAAAATGAATGTCATTCTTACTTTTTAATGTAATAATAATTGTTATTTTTTCAAATTTGTCATTTATTTATTACTTTATACATTATTTTCAATATATTAATAAGATTAATTTGGTAAAAGTGCAATATTTTATGACAATATTATTATATTTTTTAATCTGTGTGCAAAAATCTTAAACGACGCTCATTTTAAAATGGAGAGAATAATAGTTTAAATGTATTTTTTATCCTCCAATTTTGATTTGTTTTTAAGTTTTTAATCCCTTTTAAAAAATCAGTCGTCAGTCTCTTAATTTAACCTTCTTTAGATTTTTCTTTGTTTCCTTTCTGTTTTGTAGACGTGGCGTCTTATTTTGTAACATAACTGTGACATAACATTGTTTATGTGACACCATGTCATCACTTTTCCGCCATATTATATTTTTAAAATAAAAAATTAATTTTAAAATATTATTCAACATGATTAACAATTAATAAATAAAATAGTATTTATTAAATAATTTATAGTGCAATATCTCAATAGATAATTGGACAATGGATAATTAGGCTAATAAAAAACTGACAGACATTGAGAATCTAACCCATTTATTAAATAACTTATAATGCAATATCTCAATAGATAATTGGACAATGGATAATTAGGCTAATAAAAAACTGATAGACATTGAGAATCTAACCCATCCATTAGCAATTAACTAGAGATTTTATCAAGAGTTCTACTGCATTTTTGTTTTGGATATGTCAAAATATATATAATCACTCCTAAGTTCAGATAAGTGCTTATGTTTCAAGAAGCATTAACGTTAAGTGAAGATGTTTATCAAACAAGCCTAAAACAAAAAGCAATGCATAATAAAACATGATAAAGAAGATAAGTAGTACGTAGAATACTCACTTTTTAGGTTCATGAAAATTTTGAAGCCAAGCTTGCAATTTCGAAACATCAAAAAATAAGTGTTCACGTGTATCAACCCAACATCATTTCCCTCTAGGGTTTTGGAGATTTAGTGTTATCATATCTGGTGTATATATAGAACATGTATTTAAAAAGTAAAATTTATTTATAGGATGGAGTAGTGTCTATTAATTAAATTTTACAGATAAAAATATAAATTGAAAAATTAAAAATAAATAATAGGAACGGTAATATAGATAATAATGATATCGGGAATAATAGTCCAGAAAGAAAAGAGCAAAATTCAGCGCCACAGTTAATGTGAGATGTTGGAAAAAACATGAACATAAAACCTCAACGGCTTGCAAACTTATTTATGTAATTGACCGTTGGAATATCTCTATTCCAGAAATTAATTAATAATAATTTAATAAACTTACCAAAACCACCTCCGCTCTCCCTCTATAAACATCCTCAAAAATTCGACCGTTAAGAATCTTCTTCTTCTTCCTCTGTCTCTTTCTCTCCCTTTCCTCTCACAGAGAGAGTGACCATTCAAATTCTCATTCTTCTCATTATTCTATTGATTCAAGAAAAAAAAAAGCAGAAAAATGGAGTCACCACAAACAAGAAAATCGGGGCTAAATCTCCCAGCTGGAATGTCCAGCATAACCTCCTTACGCCTCGAAACCCTCTCAACTCCGCCATCCTCCGCTTCACCTCGTGCAATCTCAAATCTCTCATCATCACCTTCTAAATCTTCTTCATGTAGTGATAGATTCATACCTTGTAGATCCTCTTCAAGACTTCACACGTTCGGATTAATCGATAAACCATCACCGGTTAAAGAAGGGAGTAACGAAGCTTATTCGAGATTATTGAAATCTGAACTTTTTGGAGCTGATTTTGCTTCTCCTTCTTCTCCTGCAGGTTGTGGTGCTGCTGGTGGTGGCGGTCCTGCTTCGCCTATGATCAGTCCTAGCAAGAATATGCTTCGGTTTAAGACGGATCATTCTGGACCTTCTTCGCCGTTTTCATCATCTTCGCCTTCGATTTTTGGACATCATTCTGGATTCTCTAATGAATCTGCTACTCCTCCTAAGCCTCCTAGGAAAGTACCCAAGACACCCCACAAGGTAATCTCTTCTATTTTTCTCTTTTCTCTTTGTGTATGTTTACTCATTTTATAGGATATAGTTACACCCTAAACCCTAAACTCTAGTAGAATCAAAAGAGTTTGTGCATTGTTTACCTTTCAAGCTCAAAAATCTTTGCAAGTTTAAGTAATTATTATTTTAGAGAGTTTGGATTTGATACTGTAAGAAAATTGAACACGGTATGTGCAGGTTTTGGATGCGCCTTCACTTCAAGATGACTTTTACTTGAATCTTGTGGACTGGTCCTCACAAAATACTCTTGCAGTGGGGCTTGGCACTTGTGTTTATCTATGGAGTGCTTCAAACAGCAAAGTGAGTATGAACCTGTAAATTGCCAACTATATCACCTATTCTAAACATGTAAAATCATAGTTTAACATATATATTTGTGTGGCTTTTAGGTGACTAAGCTTTGTGACTTGGGGCCTTATGATGGTGTTTGTTCTGTCCAGTGGACCAAGGAGGGTTCTTTCATATCTATTGGTACAAACCTCGGTCAAGTTCAGGTACCTTGTTAGCGATTAGTTTAATTGGATTTTATTTTAAATCCTTACATGTATTTGAAAATAACAGATTTGGCTTATGGTAACAGATTTGGGATGGTACTAAATGCAAAAAGGTCAGAACAATGGCAGGGCATCAAACAAGAACAGGTGTCTTGGCATGGAATTCTCGAATTTTGGCTTCAGGGAGTAGGGATAGGAACATTCTTCAGCATGACATGAGGGTTTCAAGTGACTTCATTGGCAAGCTTGTTGGCCACAAGTCCGAGGTATAAAAAGATTGACAAATAAATACACATAGAGCTATACCCTTAATAATGTTTCATAAGGTCGATTGAATGTAAGTAGAGAAATTGATGACAATTTCTATCCTTTAACTTGACAGGTTTGTGGATTGAAATGGTCATGTGATGACAGGGAACTTGCTTCTGGTGGCAATGATAATCAGGTATACCAACTACCAACTCACATAATTGCATCCTTCTAAGTTTATTATTTTTATAGATCTTTCAATTCACCTCTTTTTCAATTTCATGTTTTATTATTATACGAGCAGCTGTTGGTATGGAATCAGCACTCTCAGACACCAACTTTGAGACTTACAGAGCACACTGCGGCCGTGAAGGCCATTGCTTGGTCACCTCACCAGAGCAACCTCCTTGTGTCTGGAGGTGGAACTGCGGATAGGTGTATTCGTTTCTGGAACACTACAAATGGTCACCAATTGAACTCGGTTGACACTGGAAGCCAGGTTTATTTCCTTACCTCTTCTTTTGGCAAGACTCCATATAGAAACAACGTTATCGAACTAAGCTTATGTGTGTAATCCTGCAGGTGTGTAACCTTGCTTGGAGTAAAAATGTAAACGAGCTAGTAAGTACTCATGGTTACTCACAAAATCAAATCATGGTGTGGAAATATCCATCACTAGCAAAGGTACTTTACCTTGAGAGTTCAATTCCAACCAGAAACTTTATCAATAAACATAAATTGTCCTAACCATATGGATTTGTTTTGTAAGGTTGCAACTCTAACCGGCCATAGCATGAGAGTACTATACCTTGCAACGTCTCCTGATGGTCAGGTATTACTGTCCACATAACAGCAGTAAAACAAATTGTTCATTAATCTTTATGTTGTACATGAACTTTAATGTTGAATAATACAAATGCAGACAATAGTGACTGGTGCTGGGGACGAGACTCTGCGGTTTTGGAATATTTTCCCATCAATGAAAACACCTGTAAGCATCGTTACGAATTTTCAATTATGCAAACTTAGAAAAAAGCCTTATTCCATGTTTCCAAACATTTCTGTTTGCATCATTTCCAGGCCACAGTTAAAGATACAGGCCTTTGGTCACTCGGCCGCACCCAAATTCGGTGATCCATTAAGCAAGAAGGAATTGATTCTCTTTTTATCTAGTAAAATGGAAAAGCATGGAGTTGTTTATACAATTTGTTTTGTATTTAGAAGATTTTTTTCTGTATATGGGAATGAATAAATAACACACTGACACTCACATATTACCAAATACGAGAGCATAAATAAACCAACAAAGTGTAAAGTTAAAGTTTTTCATGTAAAGTTCTTCATTGTGTTAGAGTTGGCTACTTTCACTATTTGTTCATCATGTACTTGAATATCAAATTATAGTTTGATGAACGTGATTCAATTTAGTCTCAAACATAATGCAAATATTGTTTACTGTTGTTGGTGTGTAGTTTAATTGTTTATCTTTCACATGATCGTTATGATCTATCTTTCAGTCGGCCACGCAAGTTACTCACATGATCGTTATGATCTATCATTATGCATTGTATTTCATCTATTGAAGTAGATTTTACATGTAAAGTTTGATGTTAATCATTTGATTTGGGCTGAAAAATGAAAACCCTCTCCAAAGAGGTTTTTTCTCTCCAACCAAACTCTACCGCCCTTTTCCGATCATGGCTGTTGCTCAGTCCATCCCCTCCCCCCACAACAATTGTAGCATTCCGTTGAGTCAACTCCTATAATCGATTGTGAAAGGAAATAGATCACAATTACAACTCTCGAAGATGAGTAGCATCTAGGATGATTGGAAAATTGTGTAAGCGGAAATATTTATTAATCGATTATATGAAATTAGAACATCAATACTTATTTGTTGAAGTCATGATTCAGAATCTCAGAAAGATGAATGACCGGATCTTCTTTTGTATCTCACACTCCCCGTTCACAACTCTCAATGTTGTGGAGCCGTCAATTATGTTTCTGATTCTTGTAGGGGACCTAGCCATATAATATATATAACCCTAGTCCCTACCTATTATGGGTCCAAGGTTAAAACTCACACTTTTACCCACACCAATCTGGTTTCAAATAGCCTTTAATTAAAAGATATCACTTAACCAATAAAAGGGTTTATATATGCACTCTATCAAAATCACGATTAATCCGTTTTTCACAAACTAAACAACAATTGGTTGTAGCCCATAAAAAGTTAGATAAATATAACATTCTCACACATGGACAAAATCAATTGTACAATTTTTAGTTTTAAAATACATTTTGAAAACGACTCTCGCGTTAATGACTAATTCCTTAAAATGCGGCCGCATTTCAAAGAAATGCATGATTCCAGATGCAATATCTGAATATGACTCCATCCAACAAAAGTCAAACAATATTGAATCACGACGGTTATTATATCCTTCATTGACATAAAATCTTCCGTGGTTACAAATATTACGGACTCCGTCAACTAATCATCAATGTGGAGTGTGGTAAGAAAATAACATGCTAATGTGATCCAACAATCAACTGCTATTAAAGTCAAAGAAATTGCATGGTTTTATAAACCATAATGCCTCAGCTCCAATATGGCGTCGACCACCGGCACAATGGTCCAGACAACGCCGAGTTTAAAATAATACCTCATCTCCAATATGGCATCGACCACCGATATAATGGTCTCGAAGATGCCGAGCTCAAAATTATAACCATACCTCAAACTCCAAACTAGTGTCGACCATAGGCATTGTGGTCCTAATGACATTGAGTCCCAATTTTAACAATTGACTTATAAATAAAGAATGACAAACAATAATAACAATATTCATTGTAATATTAATTGCTTAAAATTGAAAGTACTTGAAAATCCAACACTTAAAGTGCCCAAAATTAAATACATCATGATAAGAAAACGACATAAAAAAACAAACTCCCACTAACTAAGTACATCAAAATAACTCACAATGCTCATACTCTGAACATGATATCGCACCTCCAACCAATATAAAAATGTAACCAGAAGTAAATTTCCTATCATCAACACACCCAGCAAGATCAGAGTCGGTATACCCAACTATTTCCAAGTTCTCAACTCTCTTAAAAACAAGCATATACTCTTTAGTTCTCTACAAATATCTCATCACTTTATTAGCAGCAATCCAATGATCATTCCCAGGATTAGACTGGTATCATCCCAAGACGCCAACTCTGAAAGCAATGTCAGGTCTAGTGCATACTTGAGCATACATCAGGCTGCCCAACGCACTGTCAAAGGTTTTTCCTTCATCTCTGTCCACTCAATCTCATTTTTAAGACATTGATCTTTATTGAATTTGTCTCCTTTAGTAATTGGAACATCTTCTGACTTACGATTCTGCATATTGAACCTCTCTAGAACTCTATCAATATAAGCCCTATGTGACAAACCAAGCATACCACGTGATCTATCTCTGTGTATTTCAATTCCCAACACAAAGGATGCTTCACCAAGATCATTCATATCAAAAAACTTGGTTAGCATAAGTTTGGTCTTATGAAGTAGACCAAGATCACTACTTGCAAGCAAAATATCATCAACATATAACACAAGAAAGATGAATTTTCTCCCGCTGGCCTTAAGATAAATGCACTGATTAACTTTATTTTCTTCAAAACCCAATGAAGTTACCACCTCATCAAATTTCAAGTACCATTGTCTAGAAGCATGTTTCAAACCATAAATAGATTTTCTTAATTTACAAACCAAATGTTCATTACCACTTACCACAAAACCCTCAGGCTGCTGCACATCACCTCCTCATTGAGATCACCATTCAGAAAAGCAGTCTTAACATTCATCTAATGCAATTCCAAGTCAAAATGTGCTACAAGGGCTATAACGATTCTAAAAGAGTCTTTAGTGAAAAAAGAAAAAAAGTTTCATTAAAATCAATCCCCTCATTTTGTGTGAAACCTTTAGCCACGAGTCTTGCCTTAAACCTCTCAATTTTACCTTTCAATTCCTTCTTTGTTTTGAATATCCACTTGCATCCAATCGCCCTACAGTTTCTTGGTAACTCCACTAGTTCCCAAACATCCTTATTTACCATGAATTTCATTTCATCATGCATTGCATCTGTCTACATGCTATATTGAGAACAAGTAATAGCTTCTAGATGATTTTTAAGATTAATAACAATACCAAGATCATAAGCATCCTCACTAAGATAAACTACAAAATCATTCGGGATAGCAGGTCGCTTTTGTCTTACTAACCTTCTAACATAAATTTGCTCAACTACCTCATCAGGTTGTGCAACCTCAGTTATAATAGGAGGATCCACTACATTTTCAACAAGTGGTTCAACCACATCTTCAACTAGATGTTCAGTCACATTCTCATTTGGAGAAAAACCTCCATGAGCAGTGAATGATCTATTATTATCAAAATTAGGCAGGGACAAAGTAACAACATCAGGCATAATAGAATCAATATTATCATATGCAATGACAGGATCAACAACATCAAGCTCAAGGAATTTTGCATGCATGAACTCCACAATTTTATTACCTCTACCACGATAGAAGAATCTGTATTCTTTATATCTATCCGAATATCCAATGAAAAAAATAACGACTTGTTTTTGGGTCAAGCTTTGTCTCAAAAAGGATTATATATTTCAACCTCTGCAGAGAAACCCCAAACATGAAGATGGTTCAAACTGGGTTTTCTACTCGTCCAAAGCTCAAAAGGTGTTTTTGTAACTGATTTACCAGGAACTCTATTAAGTATTGTTCTAGATTGGGCCGGGACCTGCCCCTCAGTCGGGAAGGCCCAACCCAACACTACTTCGGAGAGGCCCAATAAGACCCAATCCTCCCACGTTGGGCACGATCCATATATGTCGGGAAGACAACTCCCTTGACGGGAAGACTCACACGTTCCTCCCCACGTTCTCCACGTGCTCCCTCATGCAGGGACATGTCATCAGGCAACTACCCACCTCCGTAAGTTTTGGTCAGCCCATCTTTCGAAGATCACGGGGCAGTTGATATAGGGAGAAGACCACATGCTAGCCTTCACTACACCACGTAAGCCCTGACAGTTATTTGGGTTGGGTCTGGCAGTCTGGTCCAATTCAATGTAATAGTTGCCCCTATGCTAGGGTCTCTCTATATATACCCTCTTTCACTAGAGGGTCAGATATCTTATTCTCTACACCTACTTCTTTGTATTTGCTCTCCCACTTTGATCCTTTACTCACTTAAGCATTAGAGTACCTTGCAGGTACACCCCATCTTTCTCCCTAACTCCGGTGAAAGCTGCAATCCAACGACGTGTGGCCGGCCATTGATCCTTTATGATCGGGAGAGATCAGTGGCGCCGTTTGTGGGAACTTCAACTTCCCCGTTCTTTCTCCTGTCCGAGCACAGAAGCTCAAGAACCAAAGCAAAATCAACATTCAACTTCCATTCCAATCATGGCTAGCCCACGCAATAACAATGCCTCAGGATCTGCTGTTACCCCCTTGCCTAATGGGGATAGCCACAACCTCAACACGGTCGTCCACAACGAGGAAGGTGACCACAGGGACGGGCGCACCGCCTCCCCCTTCTCAGAAGACGCAGCCTTCAACGTCGTCCAACGCTTGAACAGTCCGACTATCTACCAGCCCATTCTGGCAGGCGCCAATCCTACCATCACGACCCTGTTTGCGGCGATTAATCAAACCAACCTGATGATATTCGGGCAAAACAAACGGATAAGGATGCTCAAGAGAGAACAACCATCGCGCTCTCCCCCGCGGAGACACCTTCGCCTAATTTCTCCCAGCCCGTCTCCTCCCCCACGAAGACACGGTCGGCGATGCTCCGTCAGCCTTTCTCCCCTGAGGAGACACCGCCGACAATGTTCTATTAGCCTCTCTCCCCCCGCGGAGACACCGTTACTAGGCTTCCCTCAGTCCCCCGCCTCCTCCACGGCAGACACGGTACATGGAGGACTCTAGGAGCCCATCGCCCCGACCGGCAGGGAATCGTCCCCACCTTGAGCGACCCCAGCCAATGCTTTCTCACAAGAGGGACAGATCCCCTCCTCGAGAAGAGCGACGCTCCCCGGCTTCGAAGAAGAA